CATGACAAAGTTCCAAGACGTGTTGACGCATTTTGGCCGGCACTATGATGACACTGAGGTCAGCGGAAAGGCGGCGGTAGAGGACGTCGTCTAAGACGAGGTACTCATCGTTGGCATCACCGCTCGAGGTGAGTTGTTGGCGAATTACAGAGCAGTCACTGTCTTCTCTTTGCATGTCAGCAAGCGCAGTGGTAGGTGTGACTGTAGCACAAGAAAGGCGAGATAGCATGTCTGCTACCACGTTCTGATGTCCGGGCCGGTGTTGCACCGTGAAATTAGATTCTGTAAGGTCCGGCTGACGGTTGTAGGGCTGTGCACCTTGCACAAGGTCAATGGTATGCTCCACCTTTTCATATGGCCGGAAGTCATGATCACTGCTGGCAAAGAGGCGTGTGTGTCGTTCGAGAATGGCTTCAACTTGAGACCTTTCATCGGAGATCAGTTGCGCGCCGATTACCGCCGGCTGGGGCAGAATCGCACTGGTTTGTGGTTCTTGGCAAGGCGCTATGTGCATTGCACTTATTCCTAGCGGTGACCATGCTGGCTGTTCTTCTGGGAATATTGGGAAATTCTGCAGTCCGTCAGGAGCACAGGGCATGCGAGACTTACTCAGGGCGGAGTTCTCGAGTAAGACTGCGCTGGCCATTTGCGGCAGTAGCTTTTGCTGGCAGTCGATGATGATGTTTTTGCCAGGGTGGCGAAGCTGCGATGGAAGTGGAGGGCGGACGAGCAGCTCCACTTGTGACGCACAGAACCAGTCCTCCCCCAAGATCAATGGCAGGGCGTTTTGGGGTAAAACTGCTGCTTCCACCAGTCTGGATATGGGTCCGACGGAGATGCGAATGCAAACGGAGCCAATCGGGGTCACAGAACCTCCTCCAACCACCACGAGTGGGGGTTTACTCCAGGGGAGCAAGTTCAGGTGGCTGACGAGACGCAAAGAAATTATGCTCATCTTCGAACCGCTGTCGGGAAATGCATCAACCGGGCCCACGCCAGCGACTGTGACGGGGACGATCATGCATGCGAATTTAGAGCCGGGGAGTTCTCCAGGGGAATAGGTGCTGAAGGCTGTGGCGTTAGGCTGTGTGCTTGGGGTGACTTGATTTGGGGTTCGTGATTTTCGAGGCAGGGGGCATTTGTTGGCGAGATGGCCAGGGTTTTGGCAGTTGTAACAAATGGCTGTTGCCAAGTCCTGTCCGGAGCGAAAGGCTGGGGCTCCATTTCTCGCTTCAATGTCCCAATATCGAGCATTTTGTTGCTCAACTGGAAGCGCTGAGATTCGTTGCGGTCGCTGGGGCTGCGGGACTGACGATGTAGTAGTGCCGGGGCTTATTAGAGGCGCGGGCGCGGCGGCGAAAGGTGGTGATGGGCGTGGTCGAGGCGAGGGCAGGTTTGGAGCGGCGGAAGCTCCGGGTGCAGGGGGCGTCGTAGGGCTTCGATTGTGATCCAGGGTGCGGTCAAGATCCGTGACGATGGTCATGAAGAGTGACACGGTGCTTGGACTCTGCACCGCGATGGCGGTGGCGACTTGCCTATCGCGGAGACCCTGAATCATGTACTCGAGTCGCTGCTGGTCGGTTAGAGTGACGGGACACCTCGTGATAATCTTGAGCTTCGCGAGCGTGTAATTGACGAGGCTCTCACCCTGTGCTTGTTGTCGAGCGGCCACTCGTGTCTGCCACTGAATGAAGGAAAGCTGTTCGCCGAATTGTGCCTGGAAGGCTTCTTTCCATTCGGGCCAGGTCTTGAATTGCTTCCCGGTTGTGACTTTCCAATCGGCGGCTGGTCCTCGGAGTTTTCCCAACGCGATGGCTAGCAGGGTTGAGGGCTCCCACGAGGCAAGTTGTTGGGTGCGATCGAGGTCTTCCAGCCATCGGCGAGCGGAAATTCCTCCGTCTCCACTGAACGTGGAGATCGTAGAAGACAAATCCGGAAGGGTTGTCACGTTTACGGATCTTGCCGAGATCTGGAGGCTTTGTTGTAGGTATGCAGTGAACAACTGCATATTGAGGACGGGATCGGCTGTAAAGGTAGGCATGGTTAATGTGCCTGGCTGCCCCGCTGAAGTGGAGTCGGACGGAAGAACTCCATGGGCGTTGGCTTCGGGTAGTGGCTTTGTTTCGGCGATGTTGTTTAGAAGACGCTGAATAATTTCCTCTTTGTTGCTGGTATTTAATGCTTTATTCGGTTTCTAAAACCCGGGCGACAGTGAAAAGGCTATTGCCCATGCCATAGAGGCCCACTGTACCCACTACACAGACATATGTACATAAAAAAAAAAAAAAAAAATATATATATATATATATATATATATATATATATATATAAATCTTTGTACACTGGGATTTTCGGATTGAGTGCCAGATCACAGTTCTTTCAGATGGATGGTTGCACATTTACACAGTTCCTTTATGTCCGCTTTGCTTTCAAATGTCCCTTGTGTGACGTCACTCGGGAGGGAGCGCCAGAGCTCGATGGTTCTCGGGAGGAGCGTGCTTCTGTGACGCTCCGTCCGTCCAAGGAGGGGTTGTAGTTTATCGGCGCGATTCTTCCTCACATACCCTGGGAGAGGCGTAGGAGGGCCACCCAGCGTGCAGGCTAGGAGGCGGAGCGAAGCCACCTGCCTACGGACAGACAGGCAGTTCCACCCCACAGCTCCGAGAAGTTCCGGGGTGCCAATGTCCCTGTATTGCCTCAGCTGCGGCGGCGATTGGCGACGCAGGATAGCATAGGGCGCGCGCCGTTGCACATTCTCCAGCGAGGCAATTGCGGCGACCTGTCTAGGGCTCCACACCGACGAGCAGAACTAAAGCTGCGGGAGCACTAGTGCGGTGTATAAACTCCGCAGTGCCTTTGGGCCGGCCCCCCTTGACACTCGCGAGTTCTTCACGGATGAGATCCGCCGTGAAACCGGAGAGCTCTGCGGCAGTGGCTTCCTCCCAGTTGATGAGCGGCATGGCGGACGGGAGAAGAGGCGAAGAGGCGAACAGGGCGTTGGCTGGTTGAGGCGAGTGGGCGAGTCGGCAAGGTTTCAAGGGCGAGAAAGACTTTTGGAAAGACTCGAAAGCTAGTTTAAAGTTCTTGAGGTCGACTGCGCCAGATGCGAGGCATGGCAGGGCTGAGGCAGGGCATAGAAGTGATAATTAGGGACCTTATTGAAGAGCTTAGAGGATTACATGTTAAGAGGGCTAGAGGCGAAGGCGGTCTGTCACACAAAGCGAAGTAAGCGGTGGGCACGGCACGAGAACACAGCGAAGAAGGCGAGGGAGAGCTGTCTGGGAACGCGGAGGGGAGACACTTGAGATGGCGGTGGCGAGAGAGTACGGGCGAGAGGGAAAGGCTTGGGAAGCATAGTGCGTGCGGTGAGCTGGTGGTTTGGCGTTGCGGTCTTGCGGTGGGGAGACCGTGGGGCCCATCGAGGGGGCTCGTGCTACAGTCAAACCTACTTATAACGAACGTGATAGTTCCGCGAAAAGTGGTCGTTTTATGAGTAGTTCGTTATATCTGGACTTCCCTTTAAAACATCATAAATAAGGAAAATGAAGCTGGTATTGGTAGTTTCACTCTGCCAGCTCTTTATTTAAAGAAACTGTTTGCACGATTCTGACGGGCCCCAATTCTAACGCGATTGCAGATTTAGGTTTCAGATAAATAAAAAGTAAATTGCTGCCGATTCTACTGCACAAGTAAAATAATGAACACTGACCCCATACCTCACAGAACAGATTTTATAAAACGCACTCCACCACAAAAATAAATGCCGAGCACTAGCCCGACGATGGTTCTTCGCTGTCTACAGAGATAATTAATACTTGCTTTGGTCTAAAACGTTTTAAGTGCCGTGCTTCTTGCGCATGTACGAGTGCGCGGCCGTTGCTTCTGGCAGGGTCGTCTTTCAAACAACACTGCGAGCTCGTCGGGTGGCTGGGATTGCGAGCCACGCAGTGCTGCTCCGTTGTCATCTTTTCCGCCAGCGTGATGCCCGCCTTTTGGTGGATGTTTTTTTTTTCCCCCATTTTAAAACGACAGACACGAGTCCGTAGACGCGAGAGAATGTGCATGATACCAAAATGGCGAACGTAAACAAACTGTAACAATGGCGATGGGGCTAGCCAACTTGTAGCGAGCTTTGAGTTCTTCTTGAGCTGCATACAGTTCGCATAGAACGAACGCGAACAAACGAACGCAGCACGGCAGGAGAGTTGACCCTCGTCCTCTTCTCCTTCCCGCGCGCGCACAATGAGCAGACTACGCGACCCGAGAGGACGTTTTTGCTTTTGTAGTTTTGTTTTCTCCCCTGCCGCGATGCTGTGAAAATGACCTTGAGCGTCTCGCGTTACCGCCGCGCCTGGAATCTCTTTTAAATCTTTTTTTTTTTCCTTGCTTTTTCTTTTTGTTTTTTGCGCGCGTTTTTTTTTTTTTTTTTTTGAAAGCAGACTTTGTGTTTGTTGTAACAGTATGATGCTTTAAAAAATGGTCGTTTTATCTGGACCAATTTTAATGGGTAGGGCCTTGAATTCGTATATTTTCTGAAAGTTGGTCGTTATAACCGATAGGTCGTTATATGTGGGATCGTTGTAAGTGGGTTTGACTGTATACGACGTGGGATCGCTCACAACGCTGTTTGTAATTCAAACTTCAGATCGTGCCTCAACTGAAAGATAAACCACACATTTGGCTCAACTAACCCACTTAACAAATCATTCCTGCCACTCACCATTGTGAACTGGAACAGTCTTCCAGAATCAATGATTTCAATTACTGTCTTGGGTTGCCAAAGGCATGGTAGCGCTTTGCTTAGGATTGATAAGATCGAAGCGTGTATATATGCCTCATTTCCATGTTGATTAAATAGTTGCAGTCAGCGCTCGTGTCTGTCTTGTCTTTCTTTCTTTTGTCCTCGTCCAAAAAAGCGCTACCATGCCTTTGGCAACCCAAGACCAATGCCAACTAGCCCAACATACAGCTTTGATAAGTTTCAATTACTGACCCTGTGGAGTTTAAACATTGACTTCTCTCGTCATTTGCCACATATCATTAGGCTAGCAATGTTTTGCGGTGTTTCCAAAGTTTCGTCGCGAGGATGCATTCCATTTTTTTGTGTCCTTGAATTGAATTATTTATCACATTGCCTCTTCCTTGTGTGACGCCTTCAAAAGAGAACCCGTGAAAATGAAACAAACGAAATGATATAAAATTTATATAAATTGCACTTCTTTGCCAAAAATAATGATTTTATACCTTTTACTACACACAGAATTGTAAAGAATGACTACCAATACGCCTTTTACTACGCGCACAACGATGATGATGATGCCGACATAGTTTGTCGTACACCCTGGAGGTCAGTCTGGTTCCTTAGTTCGACGACCCCAAGGTCACCGACAGAGTGAGAAGGACATGGCGTGCCCCTCGAACACCCCGCGTCCGGTCCGGCACGGGATCCGTGCCTTCCGCAGTATTTTGACCGCAGTATTTTGACCGTGCCTTCTGCCGCGGAAAGCCGAAGTGTCCTCAAAGGCGTGAAGCTCGTGCCGGAGGCTGGAAAACCTCCCTGGCGTTCTTTCCTCGTCGGCGACCACACGGCGTGCGAACCGACTCTTTTGAGGCGCTTTAGAAGGTCCGCAACAATCGGTTTCTCGACGTGTCACGCTGCATCTTACCACGGAGGTGCGAGCGCATGGCGGAAGTTTGCGGTGAAAAAAGTCGAGGAACGAACTTACCTTGCATGGAAGAAACGAAAACAGAAAGCCATTCCGGACAATCTATGCCGCCACCTCGCAGACAATGCGCGCGCACGGCGTACGCCACTCTGAAGGAGCGATGGCCGATTTAGGGTCTTTCGCGGGATCGTCTGCTGTCGCGACCCGAATTGACTGAAGCTCTTTCGACGCGGCGTGTGCCATCTGTCGGCGGCACTTCTGCCGCACGTGCGTAGACAGTGTGTAGAGTGGCAGCGTAGACTGCCCGAGACGAGTTTCTGCTTTCTTCCCTTCAAGCGAGGAAAGTTCATTTTTCAATTCTTTTTTTTTTGCCGTAAACTTGCGCCACCTGCTTGCATGTCTGTAGTGAACTGCAACGCGATATCTCGAGAAACCGATTTTTGCAGACTGTCTAAAATGCCTTAGAGGCGTTAGTTTACGTGCCGGAGAGGCAGCACTGCCTTCTGGCCGCTATGGGGACAGAAGCTCGTCAGGCGTCCTGCTGCTCCGAGTCGTCGCAGTCCAGGTCCCCGACGATGATGTCCACCACCCGGTCCAGGAGGGTGCCCTCCAGGTTGCGGGAGAGCACGTCCAGCAGGTAGGTCTCGTCTGCTGCGAGTCCGCTCGCCAAACTCTTCTCGAGGCTGCGCACGTGCGTGCGCAGCCGCTTGATCTCGTGCCACTGCTTCCTGGCAATGCCCACCAGGCGCTCGCGCCCGAACGTCGGGAGGGCCGCCATCTCGTAGTCGTTCACCGATGGCGGCTCGCCCCGGGTCGGATCACCCCGGGTTGGCTCTTCGGACTGTTTTGCTGCAAAGAAAAAAACAATCGTGCATGAGACTACGAGAGAATTGCTCCTAGAGACACTGAACTCCCAACACATATTATCAAGTACCTGGATAGCAAAAGTATGTCACAAAAAGAACCTGCCCCCCCCCCCCTTCTTCCCAGCCCAAAAAAAATGTTTTGGCACAACACTATTTCGTAAGACTGACTTTTTCTTTTGTTTTTTAGGGCTCGAAGGCCTTATGAAGAGGAGTGGAGCACTATAATATTCTTATAAAAGGAAAAGAATGAAAGGGCCAAGATACAACATCAATACGGAACATTATTTAACAGACTCGTAGGAATGTTCAAATATTCTAATTTTCAAACAGCACCCTTTGAATAACACGGCACTCAATATACGCTTCAAGATGAGCTGCAATGTTTGTAAATTTCAAGCCTTGATTATGGCGGGTCAGCACCATCGAGAGCGCTTCTTATCGGATTTCGGTGCGTTGCAGAGAAGCTATAGCCATGGAGCTCTCTCTTTGCGGGTGCTGCTTCTCTGCAGTGTGCCGATGCTCAACAGGGCTAACCCGCCACGATTGATTCTTTGATAAGTACAAATATTGCAGTAACGGGCTTAGCAGAAAAGCACATTTTCGAAGTGGGACGTTGCACGTGCGCGACGGGTGCTTTTAAAAAGAAACTGACACATTTTGAATGTTTATCGCAAGAAGACATTTTGAGCGTCTTCTTGCAATAAACTTTTCAAAATTAAACTGTGGGGACAACCTGCATTCATCACACGTGATCACTTTTTTTTTTCTTTTTCAAACTCGCGATTAGAGAAAGAATATTTACGTACAGCGACAAGATTTATACGTCCATTCAATTGAGTATAGCTGGGCATCTCTACAAGCTTAATTTGACGTCAAATCCGTCCTTCACTTGCTATCCCGATTGTAAGCATTGAACTTACTGAAGCCAAAGTTTATTAATATTGTCACGAATTACGAGGTGAAGCAATGAAGAACTGGGGAAACTGATACGTTTAATGGGGCGAACTTGTGCCCAAAAATAAAAAGGAAACAGAAGAAAACAGAGCATCGTGGGCGTCGAAGTCGGCGTTGCAGCAGAGTCGAACGCTGGGGCGAGACTGACTGCGGCTTGCCACTCAAAGCCCCTCTTGTACGTGCGTGGGCTTCTGGAACAATCGGCGTAGAAGGTTCGGTGCGTAGAACATTCTAACCTCGAATCATCAACGCGGCTCTCGAATTTACTAGAACATCACACTAGTGTCAACAAAAATGTGTCTCGCGGCTAGGCATCCAACCCTGGCTTTTTGCGTGGACGACAAGCACGATAACTGCTAGGCCACGAGCGCGCTGCATACTTGGTCAGCTGAGCGCGCGGCAATATAGATAGACTAAAACGAACGGCTTAGAATAAGACACGTGGAAGCCTGTCAACAACCGTCAGGAGTTCAGCGGAGTTTTCGTGGCTAATGCAACTGCAGTGAAAGGCAAAAAAAAATAAAAATCCTATTCGATATTCGATTAAAAAATATTCGGCCAAAACCATTTTTGCTTTGAATTCACTTCGGACTTAAAATTCATTAATTGCGCATGCCTAGAAATTAGCAATTGCAGTTCCAAAATCAACGGTGTTAGCAATTGCGACTATGGCTGCAGGAAAGTGATTACAATCAACAGAGGTTTGGGGAAAGAAGAAGGCATTATGCTCCGTCCCACCTTATTTACGTCTGACTGCGGCGGATGTTATGAGCCATCCCGACCAATCCAGCTCTGTGAACGATAGGCCCCGACTGCACGTCTCTGGGCCTCCCCCTCCAAAGTCACGAAGCACTCGCACGGCTTCGATGGCTCGTAGCATCCGCCGCACCCAGACTTAAGATTGAATGGAGTGTAGAAGTAGACGTGCAGCAACGGAGGATCCCAACTTTCAGTTGACGATTGGTGCGTAAAGATGGTGCTGAAAATAGCGTCTGGTGATATGTTGCGTCGGATTTGTGGGTTGTCCCAAGCCAGATTCCTAGGAACACGGGCGCAATGACTCGCAAACACGTCGCAAACAAGAATAGGATTGGATTGGATGTTGCCAACGTGTATATTTTGCCAGTTCAAGATTGAAATATCGCGAGATTTGTCATACCCATTTCAAAGAGCCTGTGCCGCGACACCACCAAGGCAAATTTTGAGGCGTTTCGATTATAACGCAAACCCCCAAATTAGGTAAGGAAAATTTTGAAAAAACTTGCGTTACATTCGAGTAAATACGGTAATTTGACAAGCACGGCCTGATTTGGTTTTAGCTTTCCCATTATTTGTATCACGAGCAACTAAGAGGGTTTCTTAAGGCCCATTCTCCCACTTGAGACTGAGTAGGACCAACTGAAACAAGACTGGTTTTTAAGCCTCTTTGCGATGGTTTAGGACGGAATGCGCAGCTGCGGAGCAGGTCCTATGCTGACGAAAAAGGCTTAAAAACCGGTCTTGTCTCAGCCGGTCCTACTCGGTTGCAAGTGTATGAACAGACCTTTAGAGGGATGCTAAAACAAAATTTCGGCATTTATTTCTTGGTCCATACGTGTTCGAGGGAACAACGAAATTTCGGACACACCAATCTCTCGTTGAAAAAGACAAGAAAAAGAGTTTTAAAGTGAACTAAACAATTAGCGAAGGGCACCTGGTGGATGTCGCTAAAGCCTCGTTTGTAATGCCAGTCTAGGAACCTTGACAGGTAGTGACTATGCCTGTCTCGTCTAAGCCTATACTATACATTGAACCTGACGTCATCCTGCCAGCTCTCCGGTCACCACGTGAGAAGAGGAGGAAGAACTCCCCTCTCACCTGGACTCCCTCTTGTGTTTTCCAGACATTGCTATTGTCTCTCTAGATTATAAAAGATTAACCCGTCACTCAAAACGCATACAAAAGCAGCTTTGCGGTTAGTTGCGGTGGCCCGATCGCTAGCATGCTTCGTCCGTTTCGGTGGCTGGAACGGCTAGGGCATCTTGCCGATGTCTGCCTTCCCACAGCTTTGCCCGTCCCACGACAAACTACATCACGAGTGTGCCGGATGCTCTCCGAGCGCTCGCCAAAGCAGGTCATTTATAACGAAAAATACAGCCATCAGGTTTAAAATACAAACCTGTGATTGTCTTTTATAGATATTGTGAATCATATTCAGCCTATATCTGAACACGACGGATATATTTCAAATTTCATTGAAGTATCCCTTTAAAGGGACACTGGCAGGGTATTTGTGCTCGCCAAGATTTTTATTTGTACATGACATTTGAGAGCCATACTACCCAGAACACAATTTGTGGCTCAAAATTTATTTTTTTTCAACCCAAAAACCGCCCTGGACGGTTTGAGTCGCGCGCACTCTCTTCTTCGTTGTCATGAGCCGTTTTGTATGGTTTAGACACAACCACCAAAGATTAACCAAAGTCGTGGGTCATCAAAGGCACACACTCAATACTGAAAATAGACAGGAAATATGATACCCATTTTCATGGCTTTTAAAAAGCTGCAAAAAGGTTGACTGCAAAAAAAAAAAAAGTTGCATATCCACGTGACTTCTGGTAACTTTCTCCTCCTCTAATTTCTCCTTCCTCCCCAGTCCAGTTTCGGTTTCAGTTTTGAGCAGTTGCGTTTTTTTTACATTATCAGAAATATATGTGACACTGTAGCAAAATATTGATTGCATAGTCTTCAGACACCATATAAATCACCTGGCAAGAAATAAAAATTTTTTGGAGGGTGTTAGTGTCTTTTTAGGCTAAGATGTATGTTGCTCTGCGTTGTGAAAACCCGGCAGCTCGCGTACTCCAGTCCCCCTTCATCAGAAAGTTTTCCACGAAAGACACTTATAGTCGCTACAATCAGTAGGTGACTTCGGCTATCGCCCCGCAATAAAAAAGGAACAATCGCGGATCCAGCCCTCATCAAACTTGGCTAGGTACTTGTACGTACCTAATAGGAACGGGTGCTTAACGTTTTGCAGCGGTTAAAGTTAGTAATCGTCTTCAAACAAACGCGGCCTAAATGTACATCATTGTTTACAACGTCTGTAGTTTCCTGCACTGCTTTCCCATTGCAAAAACTGCAAAAAAGCAAAGCATCGATGCCGACACCAGGGGAGCTTCTTTGGCTGCGATTCGAGGTAGACAGGGGTTCCTTGAGATCAAAAGGTTCGAGAATCCCCCGGGGTTAGAGCGATATATCTTGCTGAACAAACAATATATTTCTACAAAGCGAGAGATCAGGCGGGGATAGGGAAGCTTTCGGAGATGCAATTCTAGCTTTGCTGCGATAGTTCTAATTTATAAAATGGGCAAAGCAATTTTGGACAGATTCTACCATGGATGTGGGGGTGCTAGGGTTACAGATCGAGGCTGGATATTCGAGTTTAGTATGAATTCAAGTTTTCTAAATAAATCCGAATAAATCGGGGGCAAATAAAAGATTGCCTCCGAGTAAGAAGCAATTCCGAAACATGTTTTTGTTTTGGAACGTCCCGAATTAAAACCTTGAGATAGAAGCAAACTGAGACTCGAAATGAACCTTGCAGCCCAAATGTTGCACGATGCATTCACGTTAACAAGACATTGCATTCTATGCTTTACGTACTACCTGCAGTTCAATTTTAAAAATTATGCTGCGAGGTAAAGTTGTTACACAAGCAATCAATTCTATTTTTTGTTTTCATTACCCGGCCCGTGCACTTGTATCGTCCAGTTTTCAAAAAGAGCAGATGTTGTTCGGTCTTAGTTCCTTTTGCATCCAAGAAAACCTAATCAATCAATCAATCTGCTGCTGTGTGGGAAACAGAGATTTGTCAAGCAATACCCGAGTTATTCATAGATACAACCGCATTTATTTTGGCTGCCCCCCGGGAATATTTGTATCACTAACATACCGTAGAATACCGTGCATCTGCCCATACCACACTAAGCGCCCATACCCAAATTTGTAAAATCTGGAAAAATATTCACAGTACATTGATATGTAAAA